AAATAATTATAGTTAGAAGACATTGCAAAAGTACTACATAGATGTCCTTGAACTCTTCACCCAGCTTCCTCCAATAGTGACATTTTCTACAACTGTAGGGCAATAGCAAAAGTAGGAAATCGACAGTGTACAAACATGTTAACTAAACTACAGACCATACTCTGCTTTCAGCAGTTTAACATGCACTTATTTGTATGTGCATATGTGTATGTATATATGTGCAGATCTATGCATTTCAACCCCATGTACATATTCATGTAACCACCAGAACAATCAGGATACAGAATTTGTTTCACTACCATAAACAGACTGTTACTATCCCTGTGTGGTCATATCCTTCCCTTCCCACTTTTATCTCTGTCCTTGGCAACAGCCTATTTTTCATCTCGATAATTTGGTCATTTTGAGGAGATAAATGGACTCATACAATATGTAATCTCTGATATTGACTTTCTTTTTCACGATCATAATGCCTTTTGGGTCCATCTAAATTGTCACATATACCAACAGTTTGATCCTTTTATTACTGAGTGGCATTCCATTTTTGAAAAGTCAGGTTGATTCAACCTTCTGTAGTAATTTAAATATTATTAGATCCTTGTTTTGACACAAAACTAAATCTGGTTTATTTCTAGAAAGTGTTTCAGAGACAGAGGCTCGAGGATCACAGTTAAGACTGTTTTTTTTCAGAATTTTCTTTAAGTCGAGAGAGTCTCATTCTTTTTCTTCCAAGAATAAAAACTGGGACATCCAGATTTGAGTAGATTCTGCAACGTGTTGAAGACAAGGTGAATACAGAGTATGTCTCACCATTACTCTTCATGACAGTGCACAACATCATAATGATCGGTCATAAACAAATCAGTCAGGATGAGGATTTGAGTATAAAATATCTGTAAGAACAGTGGGAATCTGTGTCATTTTTGCATAGGCCTCCTCCAATCAACAGTTCCTGCCCCCCACCCTACTTGTTTGATGTGAAGTTATGTAAAAGTGGCCCAGGCGATGAGACCTAGCAGCAGTGCTGCACAAACAAAATGTTCACACTCAATTGTGAACAGATGGCAACACCCATATTCGGATTGTTTCAGAGTTGTAGATTGTGGAAATGTTACTCTCAGTGACAGGAAAGCAAAGAGGGTTGATGATTCTGCTAGCCTGAGGCTCTGGTCATGGTTAGCACAAGTATATTGTAGACTGACTCTGCAGGAATACACAGCAGAGAATAACAAAAACTCAAGTTATCCACACATTCCTAGCAGACCAGAGGCTGTACATATGAACAGAGGACATGCAAAAGGCCACAAGATAAATTGAAAACTGGGGCATGTTTGAACAATGACCTGAGTTTTGAATACACTCCCCTACTCAGCAAAGATGCCCCGGCAGCAATCAAAAGCCCTAGTGACTTCAGGTGTTTGAGTTCAACTTCTGTCCAATCACTGGCTGACCACTTAGATACGCTAATGCAGGAGAAATCCCTCAGGTGCCAGGCATAAGAAGATGAACAAGAATTTTTAAAAATCTTAATGGAATTCTGTCTGGTTCCAGCCAAGATTGGGTGCTTCATTCCTCCCTCATCCTCGCTCTTAGGACCTTTTATTCTTGGACATAACATAACGAACAAGCTTACGAAGTCTCTGAAAGATGAAAAGAAGAAAACAGACAGCATAGAAATCTTGAGACTTGAGAAAATATAGTGGTGAGTCTCATAGGCTTTGTTTTTATCCTCCAATATATCTCAGATGGGACACTAGGGTAGCCTGAAACCCTGAACCACCAAAAGATAAAGACAAAAAAAAGAAACAACAACAACAAAAAAAACACGACAACACTGTTCTCTAATCAAATGTACAGGTCTAGCAGAATAGAAGACTCTTTTTTACATAATTCCCATTCCACAACAGCTAAAAACTAAAGGAAAACTTCTTCTCACCTGTGGTACCAGCTATAAATGGAGAGGTAAACTTCCACAGCTTCCTTGCTGTAGCAAGAGGGACTCTGATTCCCTCACAGGGATGACGTCAGTGGGGCAAACTGGAGGCTGAACTTCACCCATGTCTGGTGGTAGTAGGTGGCAATCTGATGCCCCCATCAGCATGGTATGTATGAATCCAAGCAACAATCCTAACTTCCTTCACAACCCAAAAGCAACAAAGTTGAACAAAGCAGTGCCAGTTGGCACTTCACTTTCCCTGCCAGTGTAGTATCAGTGAGGCCAAGTGGGGAGATGAGTTTCCATCCCACCCAAGAGCAATGAAGTGGAACAAGGTTGTGTGAAGTGTAGCTTCCCACCCTATGCTAGGATCAGCAAGGTCAGTTAGGGAGCTAATCGTTTACATCCACTTGGTGGCAATGAGGCTTTGCCAGTCAATACTGCACTTTTGTTTAGAAAGTGTCAGTAGAACTGAGGTGGGAACTGGACTTCTATGCCATGTGTCAGAAATGAGTTGGTCCCAGTCAGCACTTCAGCTTCACATTGTGATGTTCAGGTCTCAACGGGGAACTGAATATTGACACCTACCTACATCTATACTCTACACTAAACAGGGTGACTGCTTACTACAAAGGAAAATCAGAGGAAATCAATAGTCTCACTAATACACAAAATATCCAGGATACAATTGAAAATCATTTATCATACCAGGAACAAAATTGAATACAACTTAGAAAATGATCAACAGATGCCAACACTGAGATGACTGAGATATTAGAATTATCTGAGAAGAATTTCAAAGCAGCAATCATAAAAATCCTTCAACAAGAAGTTACAAACACTCTTGAAACAAAGGAGAAAATTTTTAGAATCTTAGCAAGGAAATGAGAATACAAAAATGAACCAAATAAAACTTTTGCTTCTGGGAAGAGGGAAAGATAAACTTTCCCCTATTCCTCCATCCAATTACAGCTTAAACAAAAAACAGAACCAACAAACATAAAAAAAGTGGAACCTGGACTTAGATATAAAACAAACATAAGGAGACTCTGAAAAGTGGGAAGGAGAAG